GCAATCAGACAACACAAAGAAATAAAAGGCATCCAGATTGGCAAGGAAGAAGTTAAACTGTCCCTGTTTGCAGAAGACATGATATTGTACATAAAAAAACCCCTAAAGAATCCACTCTAAAACTATTAGATCTAATATCTGAATTCAGCAAAGTTGCAGTATACAAAATTAATACACAGAAATCTGTGGCATTCCTATACACTAACAATGAACTAGCGGAGAGAGAAATCAGGAAAACAATTCCATTCACAGTTGCATCAAAAAGAATAAAATACCTAGGAATAAACCTAACCAAGAAAGTGAAACACCTATACTCTGAAAACTACAAGACACTCTTAAGAGAAATTAAAGAAGATACCAATAAATGAAAACACATCCCGTGCTCATGGATAGGAAGAATTAATATTGTCAAATGGTCATCCTGCCTAAAGTAATCTATAGATGTAATGCAATTCCTATCAAAATACAAACAGTATTCTTCAACAAAATAGAGAAAATCGTCCTAAAATTTATATGAAACCATAAAAGACCTCGAATAGCCAAAGCAATCCTGGGAAGGAAGAATAAAGCAGGGGAATTACACTCCCCAACTTCAAGCTTTACTACAAAGCCACAGTAATCAAGACAATTTGGTACTGGCACAGGAACAGACCCAGAGACCAATGGAACAGGCTAGAAAGCCCTGATATAAGCCCAACCATATATGGTCAATTAATATATGATAAAGGAGCCATGGACATACAGTGGGGAAATGACAGCCTCTTCAACAGCTGGTGTTGCCAAAACTGGACAGCTACATGCACGAAAATGAAACTGGATTATTGTTTAACCCCATACACAAAAGTAAACTAGAAATGGATTAAAGACTTGAATGTAAGTCATGAAACCATAAAACTCTTAGAAGACAACATAGGCAAACATCTCCTGAATATAAGCATGAGCAACTTCTTCCTCAACCCTTCTCCTTGAGAAAGGGAAACAAAAGCAAAAATGAACTCATGGGACTACATCAAAGTAAAAATTTTTGTATGGCAAAGGACATCATCAACAGAACAAAAAGGCATCCTACAGTATGGGAGAATATATTTGTAAATGACATATCCAACAAAGGGTTAACATGCAAAATATATAAAGAACTTACATGCCTCAACACCCAAAAAGCAAATAACCCGATTAACAAATGGGCAGAGGATATAAAGAGACAGTTCTCCAAAGAAGAAATTCATATGGCCAACAGACACATGAAAAGATGCTCCACATCACTAATCATCAGGGAAATGCAAATTAAAACCACAATGAGATATCACCTCACACCAGTAAGGATGGCCAGCATCAAAAGACTAAGAACAACAAATGCTGGTGAGGCTGTGGAGAAAGGGGAACCCTCCTACACTGCTGGTGGGAATGTAAGCTAATTCAACCATTGTGGAAAGCAATATGGAGGTTCCTCAACAAACTAAAAATATAAATACCATTTGACCCCAGAATCCCATTCCTTGGAATTTACCCAAAGAGTACAACTTCTCAGATTCAAAAAGACATATGCACCCCTATGTTTATCACAACACTTTTTACAATAGCCAAAATATGGAAGCAGCCTAAGTGTCCATCAGTAGATGAATGGTTAAGGAAGAGGTGGTACATATACACAGTGGAATACTATTCAGCCATAAGAAAGAAACAAATCCTACCATTTGCAACAACATGGATGGAGCTGGAAGACATTATGCTCAGTGAAATAAGCTAGGTGGAGAAAGACAAATGCCAAATGATTTCCCTCATATGTGGAGTATAACAATGAAGCAGAACTGAAGGAACAAAATGGCAGCAGACTCAGAGACTCCAAGAATGAACTAGTGGTTACCAAAGGGGAGGGGTGTGGGAGGGCGGGTCGTGAGGGAAGGAGAAGGGGAGTGAGGGGTATCATGTTTAGTACACATGGTGTGGGGGATCATAGGGAGAACAGGGTAGCACAGAGAAGGCACATAGTGGATCTGTGGTATCTTACTACACTGATGAAAAGTGACTGCATTGGGGTATGGGTGGGGACTTGATAATACGGGTAAATGTAGTAACCACATTGTTTTTTCATGTGAAACCTTCGTAAGAAAGTATATCAATCATACCTTAAGAAAATTTTTAAAAATAAAAAATAAATTGAAACATATCACCATGACTGTGAGGTTTTCTCCAGCAACCTGAAGCTTAAAGTATAGGGAAGGCAAAAGGTTGAACTCATTTGAGTTTGGGATTTTACCAGAAAGATATAGAGGGTGACCCTGACATATAAACCTGACAAGGAGCGAAGAAACCACGAGTGTGTCGTGGGCAGTGAAAGCCGTAAGGGCAGCAATTTGGAAATCTCAGTGAGGTCAGTGTGGGGGCCTAATGCAACTAAGCTGGAAGGAGAGAGGCAGAGTTCAGAAACTGAATCTTACAAGCACGTTTCAAATATACAGTTACTGGTACTAATGCCCAGGATATGATGGTGTAACTCCAGGCAGGGGAAATCCCAGGGCAAAATACCTTGAAACCGAAATCAGTCAAAGGGAGAAATAAAGTTTAAAACTTGTTTATTGCTTATAAGCAGTCGTTCCGTATCTCTAGGTCCTGCTGTGGCAGAAGCGAGCAAATCCTCCCCCCAACCTCTCTGGTCCAGATAAGCCCTTGCTTGCCCATGCAATTACCTATTGATATAGAGATGGACTACTGCTTCCACCCCTTGGAAACACCTGTTGATCCGAAGATGCACTAAAACCAGCAAGAGATTCTGGAAATATTGCAATTTTACCCACAGATGGGAATGAATTACTGTAGAGAAAGAAAGAAAAGATCAATGGAGTTCTGAGGGCAAGATAGGTTAGGGGCCAGTGTTGACTGAGTCATGCTGTGTTGTACAAGTCAGGGACAATGCCAGAGTGGTGGATGAGGGACAGAGACAGCAAGTAATTAGGGTCTTTAATGAACGATAGAGAACCAGGAGGTGGAGAGGGGAGAACAGGGAGCAGTAGTGACGGCAGATAGAACCAAATGCCACGAACTTCAGGTTGCTTGGGATTTCAAAAGATGAAGGAAGAATAGTTTGAAAGTGGCAAAGGGGAGCAAAGAGAACTGCTTCACTTTCTAGCCTGAGGTTCTGAAAGTATAAGAGATAAAACAGCCTCCTAATAAGAGGACTTAATGATTTAATAGCCTTAGAATCACTGAGCAGAACTTCGATGGAATAACCTGTTTCAGATTAATCCTTCTGCAGAGAACTATAAAAGCTGGATAAAATGCAGTCACACAAAAGGAAGTTGTTTGAATGTATCAGAGAGCAATTTAAGCATCCAGTCCTTGTAGGATCCTGATCTGGGAGAAGGAAAATTCACTAGAATGAGCCCTGTATTTACTACCAACTCTTCTTTTGAAGCATTTGTCAATTAAATGTGTGGGAACAAAGGTCAAACAGAAAGCAGAGATCTAGACTTTGCTATAGTATATCAGTCATTGGAGCGAGGAGACAAAACTGGGAACTTTTTCTATACTGTGTGTGTTATTCAGTCAGAAATTACCAGGTATGACAAGCCTCAGGAACAAATAAGTGGCAGTCAAGAGAAGAAAAAAGACATTAGAAACAAATCTCCAGAAGCCCAGATCCTAGAGAGGGACTATGCCATCACTGTAAAACAGTGTGCTGAAGAAAATAGATTATGTGGAGAATTTCACCAGGGAACTAGAATCTATTTTTAAAAAGTCACATGGAAGTTCTGGAACTAAGAAATAAAAGAGCTTCCATTTAGAATGCCATAGAAAGTTTTAATTGTGGATTAGACTCAACAGTGCTCACCAAAAATTACTCTTGTGATGAGTGGTTCCAAAATGGAGTTGCATTCACATGTCTGAGCACTTCCTCCTAGGGCTCACAGTAGTTCTGTAAGCTACATGTTCTTTTCATTTCACCCCAATTTTATAGAAGGGAAAACTGAGATGCAAGAAGCTAAGTTCTTAGCTCCACTAAATGGGATATGAGACAGATGTGTGCAAATTTAATGCTGGAGAGTCTCCCTCAAGGAAGGCTCTAGGAAATACAAACCTTTAAAAATGTGTATATATATATGTAGTATATAGTACATATAGTACATTAGAAACATTATAGTTACTCCAAGATAGTAACATTAGTTGCCAATTCCTTATGCCTGCAATGTGACATCTTCCTCTGATAATGAGGATTCTAACCATGAAGTGAGCTGCCAGAATGCAGCCTCTTCATTAATTAACACTGAATGCCTGAAGACAGACTGCTTAGTTCACGTAGTATGTGCATATGGGCCTGTTCTTTCAAAGAAATGGACGGTTAGAAGAAATTTATTGAAAAGGCTTTGCATTGAATAGACTATATGCTCTTTTTGTGAAGTTGTAAGTGCATTGTCCTGAGGCAGCAATGCATAACTGCTTGATAATTGATTATGACACATCCTGCTTAGAAGAGTTGTAAAATTCAGATTTAAAATGCATGTTTTGGTTTTAACAATAGTCTGAGTGACCTAGTTAACCATTCAAGGTTGCATTTCTGCAAGGTTTGAGTAATCCTTGCTTAAGTTAATAACTATGTGACAAAGGCCGGAAGGAGAGGAAATCCACATTAAATAACAAAGGGGGAAATGAAGAAGTTAAAAGCAAGAGTGGGTAAAGGGCAAAAACGTATAGCAACTGTGAGAAGGCCAGTTTGTTGCCAAGGAGGGCTCTGCTACTTAACTGGACTAGTCCTTGTATTGATTGCAAAGTTGTAGGAAAATTATTCCAAAAGAAAAGGAAAACAAAGCATGGTGTCCCTATCTCATTTGTATTCTTCCCTTTGGGAACAGAGGAACTTCCCTAGGGCCTGCTGTGCCCCAAACTAATGTAACTATTTGGCCTCCCTGAGTGCTGGCTGCAGTCAGTGCAAAAGGTGAGGGCTGCTCCTGGTAAGTGACTGATTGCAAACTCAGAGGCTGACCAGCATCTCCTTAACCCTCTAGGAGCTGAGGTGACCTACATGAACATGACCGCCTACAACAAGGGCCGGCTTCAGTCCTCCTTCTGGATCGTGGACAAACAGCATGTTTACATTGGCAGTGCTGGTCTGGACTGGCAATCCCTGGGACAGGTAACTTTCCACATTATATGAACTCACAGTTCCATCAGCTTCAAAACTACCAGCTCCATCTACTACTCCATCACCTCTACTGAGGTTGAGGGAAATCAAACCTACAGCATTTCTTTTTAAGTGTGTAGTTTGAATAGGTTCATCTTTGTTTAATGTGAAATGATAAACCCTGTCCACATCAGAATCATCTTACCGAGAAAACTTTCATTGCTTCCGCACTTTAGCAATTCAGATGCTACTCCCAGATTTATTAGATCAGGTTGGTGTGTAATTTGCATTACCCAAACCTAAATGTTCCGGATGAGATCACATCATCTATGAGACAGAGGAAAACATATTGATTCAGTACAAGGTGGTATGTCTTAGAATAGTAATCAATGAGTTATTCCTTTAATAAATCTAAAGATGAAGAAGTTACCATCTTTCCCTTTGCAAATAATTAACTTCAAACATCTTGAAGATACACTTGAACAATCTTGTAATTTTCATGTACTATTTGTGCCAGAAGTGATCTATAGGACATTAAAAATCACCTTCTTCCTATCTGTCAACTGGTGGCAGGAGGTTCTTCATCACTGGGTGCATAGGTAGACTGGCTAGTCAACCATGTGTGCTACAGGGGCCTTGCACACTACATTTTAGCTGAATTTTTCTAATGTTAAGATCATTGAAATTACCAATTAAGTTACACTATACTTCTGTTTATCCCTTATGGGAGAGAAATCATTGATGTGCAGATAGACACAAGGGCCAGAACTTGTAAAAAAAAAAAAAAGACCTGTACATTGGATAAGAGGATAACATTATATTTGTATTGTTAACTTCAGACATGTAACCATTTGCCTCTCTATTTCCACTTTTCTCCTTTTTTCCTTCTTAAACTGCCACCTTCCATGCACACATACTGCATTCTTTTTTCCTCGTTTACGGTTGAGGCAGGTAAAAGTGCTCAGCTATGAAAGAAAGTATGCAATGGGTGAACTAAAATTCCAGTTATGTCCCTCTCCACAGCATAGATAGTGCAGAGCCAAGGATCAACTTAATCTAGGGTTTTTTTCCCCCTAATTTTGTATTTAAAGGGTACTCAGAGTAATTCAGTCTCAAAGCTCACACACTTGCTATTTCTAGTGAGATAGTCTTCCACCCAGTAAAGAAGGGAACAGAAAATTCCACGATTCATTTTGGGATGAAGACAGTGTCAAAGACTGACCAAACATCATTTATTTCAGGGGGGTTTTCCCCAGAGAATTAGAATATGCTATCTACTGCAATAAAAATGGTTCTGTTGGGGGTTGAGTTTATTCTGCTTGGTTCTTGTTCCCACTGTCACAACAAATTGAAGGGCAGAGACACAGTAGTGAAGCAGAATTAAGGTTTTATATGAATATACTCCAAGGGAGGAGCAGGCCAGAGTCAAGGTATAAAAAGCCAGGTTCACTTGAATAAAACAGAGAAAGGAATAGCAGAGGGAGGCAAGGGAAGCTCATGGAACTCCTGCTCAGCAAAGGGCAAATCCCCTGCCAACTCCTAAAGCCAATGTCACTTGGCATCCAGTGTCTGCTTGAATCTGCATGATGTGGAAACTAAGTCCCTAACACCTCAGGATTTCGGGGAGCTTCAGAGCACTGGATGGAATGAGATTATGTTCTGAGAATTTCCCAAAGGCAAAGAAAAGAGATGCTCAGGCAGGCTACCACAGAGCGTGATTGTATCGGGGCAGTTCCATCCAGTTCACCCCGGTGACTGGAACTTGAAAGCTCAAATCAGAGCTCTCAGCAGCCCCTCCCTACTCACTGGAGCAGAACAGAGAGTAACGCACTTGAAGGAAGGAGAGTGCAGGCAACCTCAGAGAGGAAGTGCTCTTAAGGGTTTAGGGTCTGGGGTTTTATAGGGCTTTTGTGGTAAGGATCAGCATAAAGCATGATGTATATAGGTGATTCATAATCCCTTTGAAGTTTTGTCTTAAGAACAGGGTTATTTAGGTGACTGTGTTGGCTTCATCTCAGCATTCTTTGTTCACATCGGTTTATTTACACTTCTAAGGTCTGTCTCCTGCCCTGGTTACAAAGTTACTTGATTAGGGACTGGAGGAAGAGGGAAAAACAGCATATAGGTTAAGTTAAAGAATAAAGTGGGCCTTTTTGCAGGCTAAGTAGATTCTAATTGATACATGATCTAATTAATACAATGAAGACATGGGCTGTGCTCAGATACTTTTCATTATCTGGGGAATATCCAGTCATTCTAAGTTACTCCTGGCCTTTAGAACATAACTAATTAACTCATTAACTCTGTGAGTCCTTTCTGGCTACCTAGTTTTATCTGGGTAACTTTTGAGTCCCATTTAGAGGGCCTTAGCGGCTTTATTTTCCTTCCACCCACTCATGATTTTCTGCCTCACAGTTCTAAACAAAATAATAGTACCAGTAACAATAGTGTCAACAGTAACTACCATATATTTAATGCCAGGTGCTGTTCTAATCCATGTAAATGGATTATTTAAACTTCACAGTGATTCTACAAGGTAAATACTATTATTGTCTCCATTGTAAAGATAAGTAGACTTGAGCTCAGAATTAAGTTTCAGTATGGAGTCTTGTAGGCCAGTTCTTTCCATATAAACATTGATTCTGTAGATCTTATAGCTGATGGCCTTTCAAATATGTATATAAAAAATACTGATTATAATAACTTTGGCTACCTGAGAAACAAGTGAGACAATAATAGTATAAAGCCTTATTAATATAGACTATTTAGAGAGAAATATTGAAATTTGTGGGAATAAGAGTTCATTTTTGTTTTTTGTTTTTTTTTTGCACTCAACAGAGCTAATCAATAGGTCTCTTTTGCCCAGAAATTTCAGCTAGACCTGCTATGTAAAATTTGTCCTGTAGCAATATTGATTATATGCAAATTCTGCTGCTAAGTGATTTTTAACTTGAGCATCTGTTTTGTCTTAGAAAATGTACTTTCCCACCATCACCAAAATTGATTTCCTTTGTTATTGGCTGATATTAATTGGTAGGGTCTAAAGTTCTGTGAATTCCATTTGAATGAGGCTTGAATTACTGAGGTTTAATGAGGTTTTCTCCATAGTTTTGAGCAAATTATCATTATTTTCTTCATTTCCTTTTATCCTTTTCCTTAGACAGACAGACATATATTCAAGTGTTGGTTTCTCTATTTGGGAAATACTCCTTTGTCTTTAATTTTTTGTTGTTTGTTTTGCAGGGAAGTAGGTTGATCTTTGAAATGTTCATTCTTTATCAGTATAGTGATTTGAATGTTCTTTCCTCCTGAAATGGATCATCTTTGTGAAATGTGATTATTTTCCCCTCCTTTAAACATGGTAATGCAGAGTAAGGATAAGCTGCACATTACTTCCTATTATTCAAGTGAAGAACCACAGCCATCTTTTGATGTTGCCTTGCATGTACACCCTAAGTGGTAGCTATTCCCCTTCTTGTTACAGAGAAGACCAGAAATGACAGAGTGAGAAAAGGTCAGGACTCACTTCTCTGTTTCACAACTTGTCAAGCTCCTTTCCTAAGGACCAGTCAACTCCTTGGGATTCGTTTAATGCCATTCTCAGTAGTAACTGAAAAATTGCAGCCTCTCAATTGTGCCATTGCATGGATCTGGGCCCTTCAGATCTGTCTGACATAGATCCCCTCTGACATTGCCCTGGTTCTCAGCTCCCATGACACATAGTGAGAGGGAGAATAGAGAGAGTGAATGTTTGAGATATGTCTCCTTCAGCCTGAATAGACCAACCAAGTTATACTTTTAAAAGCCTGGAAGGATTATCTTGATGCTTCTAAAATATGTGGAGTAAGTGTAATACAGGATTAAAAAATAAATTTATGTTATGGTCCATCATAAATTCACAGAAAGGAAAGCCATGGAAAAGCACTGAGCACTCTGCTAAATAACAAAAATTCAACGGGGTGAATTTAAGGGTCAAATTGGCTGTATTCAGCAGCTCATAAATCAGGTACCACCCATCTAGCCCTAGAAAGGAGCTCCACCGAACTATAGAAAAGGAAAAGCTTTTAAAGATGGAGAGGGGACAGGAAAAGGAAATTATTAGCAAAGACTGCATTGTTTCAGGTAAAGCTGCCCTCCGAAGGGGAGGGAAGGGGAGGGAAGGGGGTCTACCAGGAGCACTATCTCACTAGTGCAGACCAGGCAGTTCCATGTTGACAGGTTAAAGGTTACATTCCTGGGGGATTAAAGTACAGTTAGGTTGGGTATTATGTCTTGGTTTGCTGATGTGGGTTTTTCCACATTGGGCCTGCTTTGGGCCCTACTTTGGGCCTGCTGTTTCCTTCTTAACAATTCCTAGTATTCCCATAAAGAGAGGCAGGTCTTCACCATGCCAGCTGTCCTTGGAAATGGTCCTTGGAGAAGAGCAGCCTTCGGTAGGTTGGAGAAAAAGCTGCAGCTTGAATAAAATGTGGCAGTTGATGGGAAAAGTTTAAGCTGTCAGTCATTTCAGGCCATTTATGGGCCTTCCCACATGGACTTCTTTTGAGGAAATCCACCTTCCTCCATTGGTTATAAGTTTCATAGCAGATTAAACTCCACTGTGGTCAAGGAGTTGAGAGGTGAGTGGAAGAAATCTTTTTTTCATTTTTTCCAAAAGGCTACTATTTGTGTGCTAGGCAGTGAGCTAATGGTTACATACACTTCTTCCTTTATCATGGCAACCTAAGGGTGGATGTTATCCCACCTTGCAAATGAGGACAATATTGGAAAAATAAAAACAGACCAGATTCTGTTGCTGTTCTTCGCACTCCCTGACCTGTGTAGGAACCAGGCTTTGGGAGAAGGTTCCCATATTGTTTAGATTGATGGATAAGTTAGCAGTCTGCATCTTTCATTGCACTCCTGGTAATTTGGGGCTCAGGTATGAATCAACTCAAAGTTGGCATTTTCTTATCTTTCTGCTGCTAAACCAAGCTCTTAAGAACTAAAATAAATCATTCCTCTTCTCTTAG